CTCTCCTTGACGTATGACCGCAATTGGGATCAGAATTTCCATTGCTAAGCCAGGCGGTTGTAAAGTGAGTCACGTGACACAGTCTTCTGACCTTTTTTCGCCCTGGTTGTTAAGCCAATCGCTGCAGTTGTGAAGTGAATCGTGCAGTCATTAAGTGAATCTGGCTTCCCCCATTGACTTGGCCTGCCGGAAGCTCGCTTGGAAGGTCACAGTGATCAGCTGACCCAGGGATGCTGCATCCACTGTAAGTACATGCCAGTTGCAAAGTTCCTGATATTTGATCACATGACCACGGGGGAATGCTGCAACGGTCATAAGTGTGAAGATCAGTTGTAAGTCACTTTTTTTCGGTGACAAATGGGTACTAAGGGAATGGTTGTAACCCGAGGACTAGCTGCATTCTCTGTTGTGCTATTAGTCCTTTAGAGTGACTGAAGTAACAGAGAAGGATTTGTAATAAAACCAAATAAATAAGTGAACAACGACAAGGTCCACGAGCTCTCTGTGGTTTCAAACAGAGCTTCGCCAAATTTAATTGAGAATCCAGGCTATGAACCTACATATGTAATCATTCAAGAAACAGAATTTGGAGAATAGGAACATGATTTGGGGATTATTATTAGACCTCAATGCACCCTTGCGATTCTGTGTGGACTGAATTGTAGATATGTGCCCAGGTATGTTAGTTAGTTAGAAAGCAGACATTTTTAATATGGCGATGGGTGCATAAATGGAATAGACCAGTGATGGCGAACCTTTTAGAGACCGAGTGCCCAAACTGCAACCCAAAACCCACTTATGTATCGTCGGGTGCCGGGTGGGCATGGCCCATGAGGGTGGGTGTGGCCATTTGGGTGGGCGTGGCCCATTGGGTGGGCGTGGCTGCGGTGGTAACGGCAGACTGGGTGGGACTAAAAAGTTCAATCAATCAATTCCAACTTTGTGAGATCTTTTTTTCCCCTGCGGAAAATTGAAATTGATTGATTTATTGAACCTTTTTTTTTTTTTTTTACACACGGCGGCAGAGGCCTAAAGCGAAAAGGTTTGATAAAATCCAGCTGAAGGCCTAGGACTGGGGCGGCGATGCACGTGCCCACAGAGAGGGCTCTGCGTGCCACCTGTGACACACGTGCCATAGGTTCGCCATCACTGGAATAGACCATCAGCACTGGAAGACGCCAGTTTAGAAAAAGCTGGCAGAATTCACTAGAGTTGTGGCAGGTCAAATTCCCTTTCTTAACCACACGATGGAGCCATTGAGTTGTATTGTAATCAATAGCTAAAAAGCTCCCCCCCCTCTCTCTCTCTCTCACACACACACAAACACACACACACACACACACACACACACACACACACACACACACGACGAACACACAGAGTTACACTAATTAAAGTTACGTTATAGAATAGAGCTGGAAGGATCTTGGAGGTTTTCTAGTCCAACCTCCTGCACAAGCAAGAAACCCTATACCAGGGGTCTTCAAACTTGGCCCTATTATGACTTCAACTCCCAGAATTCCTCGGCCAGGCACGCTGGCTGAGGAATTCTGGGAGTTCGAGTCCGCAAGTCATAAAAGGGCCAAGTTTGAAGACCCCTGCCCTATACCATTTCAGACAACTCCCAGAATTCCTCAGGCAGAGTCCATAAGTCACAAAAGGGCCAAGTTTGAAGACCCCTGTTCTAAGAGCCTCTTTTATGCCCCAACAGCACCATCTTGTGTGAAATGGCAGTTGGTTCTGTGATTTTCCTAAGATCTGGCCATTCAGTTTTTCATCTGAAGGGCTGCCCCAAAGAAGAGGGAGTCAAGCTATTCTCCAAAGCGCCTGAAGGCCGGACAAGAAGCAACGGATGGAAACTAACCAAGGAGAGAAGCAACCTGGAATGAAGGAGAGACTTCCCGACAGTGAGGACAATTAGCCAGTGGAACAACCTGCCTCCAGAAGTTGTGGGTGCTTCATCACTGGAGGTTTTTAAGGAGAGACTCGACAGAAAAATAGTATAGGGCAGGGGTCTTCAAACTTGGCCCTTTTATGACTTGTGGAGTTCAACACCCAGAATTCCTCAGCCAGCGTGCCTGGCTGAGGAATTCTGGGAGTTGAAGTCCACAAGTCATAATAGGGCCAAGTTTGAAGACCCCTGGTAAAGGTTCTCTTGCTTGTGCAGGAGGTTGGACTAGAAGACCTCCGAGGTCCCTTCCAGCTCTATTCTGTAACGTAATTTTAATTATGGTAACTTTGAATGCTCACAGACACATAACAGGGTCGGAAAGCAGCTTGTGTCAGGCTTCTGATGCCATCTTTCCGGTTTTTCGCAGACTTTTAAAACTTCTTGCCTTTCACTTTAGGAACAAGCTTAACTATCTGGATATTCAGGATCCCATCCACATGTCACATGGAAGATCATCTCTGGCAGATGGTGGAATGCATTCTCAGGTTTTCTAGACTCCTCTTGACCTTCAGAGTGCCCACAAGACAGCCTGGCCTTAAAGCGTTGAGGACTTGGGTAGTATTTCAAATTTATGAATGTCAGAATACGGAATAACAAGAGTTGGAAGGGACCCTGGAGGTCCTCTAGTCCACCCCCCTGCTCAAGCAGGAATCCCATTCCAGACAAACGGTTGTCCGATCACTTCTTGAAAACCTCCAGCGAGATTTCTGGAGATGGGTCATTCCACTTTTCCATAGGTCATTCCCATGTGTGTCTAGGGCAGTGGTGACAAACCTATGGCATGCGTGCCAGAGGCGGCACCCAGAGCCCTCTCTGTGGACACATGCGCCGTCACCCCAGCCCCAGCCCCACCTCCTCCCATGGCCCCCTCTTGCCCAGCAGCCCCCCCGGAAGAGAGTTGCCCCCGGGCGCGGCCCACATGAAGCAGCACAGCCAAGGACATGCTAGCTGGGCAGCGGGGACAAGACCTTGCGCTTGCACCCCGTTGTGCGCAGATGATGCTGCAGGGCACGCGAGGGCATGGCCATCATGGTGCTGCTGGTCCACTTGGGTGATCGGTGGCGTGCCATGGAGGTGGTGGGTGGGCCAGTGGACAGGCAGAGCAGCGATGGGGGCAGTTTTGGGGCACGTTCTCTAAAAGGTTCGCCATCCCTGGTGTAGGGATAAGAGACCGACCCCCTTGTTTGCATGATGTACTTCTCTGGGTCAAAAAGAGGAAGGAGAATGTATTGTCTGAACATCCTAATCTGAGGTACCCGAATCAGTGAACACTCAGAGGATAACGAAACCCTGGAGCTCATTAGGGTTGTGAGGGCCCAACTAGAAAAGAGGTCTCCAAACCTGGCCACTTTAAGGCTTGTGGACTTCACTTCCCAGAATTCCACAACCAACCATGGAATTGTGGGAGTTAAAGTCCACAAGTCTTAAAAGTTGCCAAGTTTGGGGATATCTGTTCTAGAGAAAACCTACATGGTGGCTGTGAGAATAGGGAATCTATCAGTTAAGGAGTCAGATGCCTGCAAAGAAAACTTAAAATGTCCAGATCAGGGGTCTTCAACCTTGGCCCTTTTATGACTTGTGGACTTCAACTCCCAGAATTCTGGGAGTTGAACTCCACAAGTCAAAAAAGGGCCAAGTCTGAAGACTCCTGGTCCAGATGATAGCCACCAGCAGGTGATGGAAGCCCTGCCCCTTTTCACATGCCGTTTTAGCCACCATCTTGACCTTTTTTAACCCCTCCCCCTGCAGACACTTCAGAGGGGGCTATTCACTTCCTTGGCATGTTTGCATTCTAGCTGGATGTGCAAAGCTACGTTCTGGGTGAGCTTAGCCTTCAAATTGTATTTTGAGTCAGCCACCCAGAGTTGCTCCAGCAGCGAGATGGATGGGCAAGTAAATCTGATAAATAAATAAAATTGTGCAAGCCCAGGATTAAGAGTACCGGTGGAAGAGAATATTCGTAGCTCAGGGTTGAATTGTGAAGTCCTTGGTGCTCTCTGAGCATGATTTTTTTTTCTGCAGATGTTTCATCAGCCGACTACAGGGAGTGAGGGTTATGGGGGAGGAAGGGGAGGACTATTGGCCCACAGTCCTCCTCCTCCCCCCCCCACTTCTTTCTAGCACTGATGTTATCTTATTGCAGTGTTTCTCGACCTTGACAATTTTAAGGCATGTGCACAATGCCTTAAAATTGTCAAGGTTGAGAAACACTGTCTTATTGGGAGCTCTCTGATCTTGGTTGTTTTACTTGCAAACATTTCATTACCGAATTATGTAACATCATCAGTGCTAGAAGGGAGTGGGGTGTCTGAGAAGGAGGAGGAGATTGACTCTGGGGTTCTTAATACACTCTCTAATAAGCTTCATTTTTTTCCTGCAGACATTTCATTACCCAACTAGGTAACATCATCAGAGCTAGAAGGGAGTGGGGTGTCTGAGAGGAGGAGGAGGAGGAGAAGGAGGAGAAGAAAAAGAAGGAGGACTCTGGGGTTAATAATAATAACTCTTAAGCTTGGCTTTTTTCCTGCAGACATTTCATTACCCAACTAGGTAACATCATCCAAGCTACAAGGGAGTGGGGTGTGTGGAGTGAGGAGGAGAACTGTGGGGTCCTTGGTGCTCTCTGAGTTTGGTTGTTTTACTTGTAAACATTTCCTTACCCAATTAGGTAACATCATCAGTGCTAGAAGGGAGTGGATATGTGGAATGGAGGAGGAGGAGGAGGAGGAGGAGGAGGAGGAGGAGGAGGAGGAGGAAAACTGTGGGGTCCTTGGTGTTCTCTGAGCTTGGTTGTTTTCTTGCAGATGTTTCATTACCAAACTAGGGAACATCATCAGTGCTAGAGGAGAGTGGGGTGTGTTCTCTGCTTATCTATAAGTGGCTAGCCCTGTCAGTGTGGATGTGCCTGTTCTTAGTGCTTCCTTTATTGAGGGTGCTGTGTGAACACAACCTCCAAGAGAAGAGCCAGCTGCAAAAGACGCCACCGAAGGAGCTAAACCTCTCCCTCCGCACATGACAGGCACACAGAGGAGACGCCAAGAGGCTAGGGGAATGGGATGTTGTACCAGTTTTATTGGTAAAATTGAACACGAAGGCTCACGAACGCTGGGACATGCTTTTCCTTTTAAAGAACTTCCACTGGACCTTAATAGTGAGCATCCAGTCGTTCACGTACAAACTTTTACAAGCGGATGTGTAGACATGCGCCTCGGGGGGGAGATGACGGCATCCGGGTCGGGGCGAAGGGTGCTGGGCGAGGCACGGGGCGCCCACGATTCATTTGCCAGCCTTCTGAGCTTTCTGTGCGGACTTGGTGACCTTGCCCGCCCCGCCGCTCTTCTTCTCCACGTTCTTGATCACGCCCACCGCCACCGTCTGCCGCATGTCGCGTACGGCAAAGCGCCCTGGGAAATGACAGGGAGGGGGGGGGAGGGGAGGGAGTTAGAGCAGCCCCTCTCTTGCCACCCCTTCAAAACAAGGTCGTGTCAGGTTTGGGGGTCTCCGAAAGGAAGGCAGACCTGGCCTTGGGGATCAGAGAGGAAGACGAGGATCCGTGGAAGGGGAGATGTGCAAAAAAGAGGAGGACGCGTCTTTAAGAAGCGCGAGAAAGCAACTTCGAGTAACCCCATCCTTGTCCCAAAGGTGCTTTTTTTCAGGAGGGACTGGACTTTCTTGTTTTTTCTTTGGAGACGTTTCGCTTCTCCTCCCAGAAGCTTCTTCAGCTCTGACTGGATGGTGGGGAATGGAAGGATTTATACTCCTTGCAGACAGCTGGTTATTTGCAGTCTTTTAGAGCAGGGGTGCCAAACTCAATTTCATTTAGGGCCGCATCAGCATTGTGGTTGCCCTTGGGGGGCCGGGTGGGTGTGGCCAGGGTGGGTGTGGCCTACTGGGTGGGCGTGGATGGAGTAGGTGTGGTCTACTGGGTGGGCATGGCCAGCTCTACATCGTTCACGTCAAGGGTGCCTATGGGGGCCTGGGTAGGAGTGGGACAGATCTGAGGGTCTCTGGCGAAGGGGGTGGGATCGGAGCAAGCGCCAAGGCATGGTCCATTTCTTCATTCCTCACAAAAGGTGACACCTCCCCAGGATGCACCCAGGGGGTGGGGCCGATGCGGCAGCGGCTGGTTCCTCATTGTTTCAAGATGGCTTTCTGGAGCTAAGACTGAATGCGTTTCAACACAGATGGCCACCACAAAATTGTACATTGGCTCCCGGCCGGCCTGGGCCAGGGCCAAGGCAGCGGGGACCGTTCCCTCACTGTTTCCAGGATGGCTTCATGGGCCACATGAAATCACTTCGCGGGCCACATCCGGCCCCCGGGCCTTGTGTTTGACATGTCTGTTTTAGAGAGTCATTGAGGCCACCTGGAGGCTTATCTGTATCCTCAGGGTCACTACTCAATACAAAACACTACTGTTTGTACCACTCAGGTGACCCTGACCCTCCAGGTGGCCTCAACGGCTGGATGGTGGGGAATGGAAGGACTTATACTCCTTGCAGACAGCTGGTCATTTGCATTTTTTAGAGGGTTGTTGATGACACTTGGAGGTTTACCTGTGTCCTCAGGGTCACCTGAGTGGTGCAAATGGATGTGGAGCCTTCTTGGCTGCAGGATGTCTTCTGCCCGGGGTCCTTTCACATCCTGCAGCCAAGAAGGCTCCACACACTTTGCACTCTTCAGGTGGCCCTGGGGACACAGATAAACCTCCAAGTAGCCTCAACGACTCTCTAAAACAGTGGTTCTCAACCTGTGGGTTGGGACCCCATTTGGGGTCGAACGACCATTTCACGGGGGTCGCCAAACAACGCAGTCCGCCATTTTTTCCCCCCTTTTCCTTAGCTGTGCTACTCCCTTTTATTCTATTGGCTTTTGAAAGCCAATAGAATAGACTCTCTTGAATAGAGTCTAATTCTATTGGCTTTCAAAAGCCAATAGGAATTGTCCAGGCTGTCTCTGCCCTGCTGAGCCCGCCAAAAGTCCCAGTCTGCAAACGGTGCTGCACCAGTTGAGTAGTCCTCGACTTACGACCGGTTGAGTAGTCCTCAACTTACGACCGGTTGGGGGGGGTCGCGGCATTAAAAAGGTTGAGAACCACTGCTCTAAAAGAAGGCAAATGACCAGCTGTCTGCAAGGAGTATAAATCCTTCCATTCCCCACCACCCAGTCAGAGCTGAAGAAGCTTCGGGGATGAGAAGCGAAACATCTTCAAAGAAAAAACAAGAAAGTCCAGTCCCTCCTGAAAAAAAGCACCTTTGGGATAACTATGACCTGGATGGCTGAGAATCTCCATAGACAAATCCCAACCTTGGTTTTGTTTATAGCAACTTGGACAGATTCTGTTATAGTCCTCGACGTACGACCACAACTGAGCCCAACATTTCCATTCCTAAAGCAAGCCAATTGCTAAGTGAGTTGTGCCCCATTTTCTTTTGCCATGGTTCTTAAGCGAAATCGCTGCAGTTGTTAAGTGATGCACACTGTCGTTAAGCGAATCCGGCTTCTCCCGTTGACTCTGCTTGTTGGAAGTCGGGTTAGGAAGGTTAGCAAATGGTGACCACAGGACCGCCGGAGGACACTGCAACCGTCATAAATACATGCTGGTTGCCAAACACCCAAATTTTAATCACGTGACCATGGGGGATGCTGCTATGGTTGTTAAGTCTGAATCCTGGGCCATTAGTCACTTTTTTTCAATGCTGCTGTAACTTCGGTCACTAAATGAATGGTCGTTAAGTCGAGGACTACCTGTAAGTAGTACTGTGTTTTCCTGAAAATAAGACCCAGTCTTTTTTTTTTGCCTCCAAAAGAAACACCAGGTCTTATTTTCGGAGTAGGCCTTACCTCACCTCCGGCACCGACAGCCTCACCCAGCCGGTCCACTTCTTCTGGGGCCAAAGTTCTGCAGCTGCATTCGGGCCTGCATTTTGCAGTCAGGCCTTTCCAGAAGGCCTAAGCAGTTGAGTACCGAGCTATAGATTCAATCTCGGTGCTTGGCTGCTGAGGTCTTCCAGAACCAAGCTACAAATTGAATCCATAGTGGGTTCTTGCCTGTACAGGCCTTAGGGAAAGCCCTATGACGGAGAAAGGCATGCCTGGCTGCAGAAGAGGCCTCAGGAGTAGGCCGGCGAGAAGGCCTGGCTACAAAGGAAGCGGGTGCGGGGAGGGTGGGGTAGCTCCACACCCCCACCCCAGCTTGATTTTTAGGTGTGTGTCTCGCCCCAAAACTAATCCTTATTTTTTGGGACAGGGCTTATATTAGGCCCACCTGTAAAAATCAAGCTAGGGCTTATTATTGGTATAGGCCTTACTTTCGGGAAAACATGGTAGGAGTCCAAGAAGGCCTGGAGGTACCAAGGTAAATTGCCAGTGTTGGAGGCGACGATCAAGTGGTGTTGAGCTCCCACGCATAAAGTACCCCTTTAATTTTTTAAAATAAAAATCACTCTAAATTTCACCTTGCTGTCAAATGTCATCCCCAGAAACTCAGAAACCCAGCTCTTATGCTAAATCTCACCCTAGTTCAAGCCTTCTTGAAAGATCCACTCCAATCCCAAAGCCTATCAGGATCTTGAATGCTCTGGGGTTATTGAAAGAGAGAGGTTTAAAATCTTGTCATATCGTTTGGGAGGGTCTGCCAAGTACTGTCTAGGGCAGGGGTCTTCAAACTTGGCCCTTTGATGACCTGTGGACTTCAACTCCCAGAATGAGAGGCTGAGGAATTCTGGGAGTTGAAGTCCACAAGTCATCAAAGGGCCAAGTTTGAAGACCCCCCGTCTATGGCAAGGGGGTCCCCAAGCCTTTTCTTTCATTACCCCAAAATGCTTTACCAGAAAATCTTATCAAACTTCAAAGACCAGTGCCTTAGCAGGGGGTTGGACTAGATGACCTCCAAGGTCCCTTCCAGCTTTATTATTATTATAAATAAAGGATCCTGGATCTTTATTTGGATACTTAAGCGGGCTGTTGACAGCAGGGTGTAGGTCTATACATATGTTGCATATTGTGTTTTAAATGTGTTATGTATGTGTACGCTTTGAGAGGAAGCAACTAAATTTCATTTTTAATGTGTGCCATTGTGCCCACAGGGGAAAAAAATGATAATAAAGGTTATCTATCTATCTATCTGTCTGTCTGCCTGGCTGGCCTGCCTGCCTATCTACCTACCTTAATGATCGTTCAAAGTTAAGACAGGGTGCGTAAAAGTATTTATGACCTGGTTATGGGGTGGCACCCCCATCCCAGTTACATGACCACATTTCAGGCCTTTAGCAAATCATGTTTACATCCACTTACAGAATTCTGCAGTCACGTGATCACGGTTTATAATGCCCATGCTTTAGGACCAATGTGTTTGCTTGATGATTGCCACAAAAGAGGGACAATTGGGTCAGGCAAGTGGGGTTCCTCGACTTATGACATGGAAATTCCAGGCTCCATTATGGTCGTAAGTCGAGGACTACCTGCATGGATTTCAATAGAAAGGTCAATTACAGGTAGTCTTACAACAGCTCATTTACTGACCGTTTGAAGTTACAACAGCACTGAAAAAAGGGACTTACAGTATGACCATTTTTCACACTTATGGCTGTTGCAGCATCCCCATGGTCACGTGATCAAAATTCGGACAACTGACAACCGACTCATATTTATGACGGTCGCAGTGTCCCGGGGTCACGTGATCCTCTCTTGCGACCTTCGGACAAGCAAAGTCAATGGGGAAGCCAGATTCACTTAACCAGGATACTAACTTAACCACTGCAGTGATTCACTTAACAACTGTGGCAGGAAAGTTCGTAAAACGGGGCAAAACTCACTTAACAACGGTCCCGCTTAACAACAGAAATGTTGAGTTCCGTTGTGGTGACAAGTCGAGGACTACCTGTATCTTGCAACTGCATTTACAAAGGTTAGTAGAAGGAGCCAGGCTCACCTAAGGGTGGGTACTGGGAGAAGCTCTCCACACACATCGGCTTCCCAGGGATCATCTCCACGATCGCCGCGTCTCCGGATTTCAAAGATTTGGGATTGTCTTCCAGCTTCTTGCCAGAACGTCGGTCGATCTTCTCCTTAAGCTCGGCGAATTTGCAAGCGATGTGGGCGGTGTGGCAGTCAATGACAGGCGAATAGCCAGCGCTGATCTGTCCAGGATGGTTCAAAATGATCACCTGTTTGGCAAAAAATAAAATAAATAAATATATAAGAACCACCCAATTAGCCTGGATCGAAGAAGATACGTGATGCTAAAATGATTGCGTTCCCCCTGCATTCTTGGATTTTTTTTTTAACCCCTTCATTTGTGTTGTTCCATTTTGTGATTTTTATAATAATAAGATAGTTAGAAGGGACCATGGAGGTCATCTAGTCCAACCCCCTGCTCAGGCAGGAAACCCTATACCATTTCGGACAAATGACTGTCCAGTCTCTTCTTAAAAACTTCCAGTGTTGGAGCATTCACCACTTCTGGAGGCAGGTTGTTCCACTGGTTAAGTGTTGTCACTGTCAGGAAGTTTCTCCTTAGTTCTAAGTTGCTTCTCTCCTTGATTAGTTTCCATCCATTGCTTCTTGTCCTGCCTTCAGGGGCTTTGGAGAATAGCTTGACTCCCTCTTGTTTGGGGCAGCCCCTGACATATTGGAAGGCTGCTACCATGTCCCCCCTCGTCCTTCTCTTCATTAAACTAGACATAATTGTGAATATGTTGTCCACCAGTGTTTCTCAACCTCCGCCATTTTTAAGACGTGTGGACTTCAACTCCCAGAATTCTGGGAGTTGCAGTCTGCACGTCTTGAAGTGGCCGAGGTTGGGAAACATAGTTTATTTATTCATTTATGAGAGTTATATACCGCTTTAAGTGCGAGCACTCTCTAAGCGGTGTACACCAGTAAACAATGTGTTTACCCCCAACAATCTGGGTCCTCATTTTACCTACCCCGGAAGGATGGAAGGCTGAGTCAACCTTGAGCCGGTAAGATTTGAACCGCTGACCTGCTGAACACAGTCAGCTAAAGTGGCTTGCAGTACTGCACTCTAACTGCTGCGCCACCTTGGCTCATTTAGTTGTACATTGCTCAGAGCCAGCTTCCATTAGATGGACAGCTATATAATTCTATTAAATTAATCGATTGATCGATCATTGAAGTTTCAGAGGAAGGTGGAACGATCAACCAACTTGTCAAGGGTGGGATGGGGGGGTGAGCAATGTTGCCCTCTTTTGGACAGTTATGGAGGATCATTCGGTTCAAAATGGGAAGTGATACAGAATACAGGTAGTCCTCAACTTATGACCACAATTAAGCCTAACATTTATGTTGCTAAGTGAGACATTTTGTTAAGTGAACTTCCCCCCAATTTACGACCTTTCTTGCCACCGTTGTTAAGTGAATCATTGCATTTGTTGAGTTACTAACACAGCTGTTAAGTGAATCTGCCTTCCCCAAAGGTGATCACATGACTCTGGAGACACGGCAACCGTCATAAACATGAGTCACTTGCCAAGTGTCTGAATTTTGATCCCATGACCACGGGGATGCTGCAACAGTCGTAAATGTGAAAAACAGTCATAAGTCACTTTTTTCAGTCTGTTGTAATTTTGAACGGTCACTAAATGAACTGTTGTAAGTCGAGGACTACTTGTATAGCTGGTCGTCATTTACTGCTGGTTTTTTGGGGAAAGCTTCCCATGGCAAACAATGGCTTTGCTTAGCAACCATATTATTCACTTAACAACCTTGACAATTCACTTTATGACCATTATAAGAATAATTGCAAAACTGGCTCCAGTCACATGATGACTTGACTTGCAACCACACCAACTTAGGAACAAAATTCTGGTCCATACTGGGGTTGTTAAGTCGAGGATCACCTATACCTGATTTGGCTAAAGCATGTCAGAAGAGCATGGTCAATATTTGGCCCCAATGGGATACAAATATAGCCCCCAAAATTAGTTGTGGGCAAAGGCTGGAAGAAGGAATCAAGTGAGGGCCTAGCTTGGAATCCTTGCATAGCCATAAGTGACATAAACTTGATCTCCCACAAGATCCCTAAAGCCTATTCTGGTGGTCCCCAGGGGGAAAACAAGCAGTTTGGGGAGATTCTTATAACAAAAGTGATAAGACAATACAGTAACTGACTTTCGCTATCCAGAAATGGCTCTGATTGGCTTGGTCCCGACAGTTAGGATCCAATGACACAGCTCTTCAAAATGGCCGCCCTCTGCTCACCTGAGAAGTGAACTGGGCTGCTTCCTGAGGCGGATCAGATTTGCTGTCTCCGCAGACGTTGCCTCGGCGGATGTCCTTCACGGACACGTTCTTGACGTTGAAGCCCACGTTGTCCCCTGGCATAGCTTCACTCAAGGCCTCGTGGTGCATCTCAACCGACTTCACCTCGGTGGTAATGTTTACGGGGGCAAAGGTGACCACCATGCCAGGCCTGAGGATCCCGGTCTCCACACGGCCCACGGGGACAGTTCCAATACCTGTGAACGGCCATAAAGGGTGTCAGAGCAATACAACAACCATCAGGGAACATGGACATCGAAAAGGCTTCTCCTGATAGGCTGATCTTCAATCCCCATCTTCTTCTTTCCATCTGCATCATTCACCTGCACGTCTGGAAGGCCCCATTTTGATGGCTATTATCATTGAATCAATTTTTGTAACAGATTTCCATGGGGGAAAATGGTATTTAAATGATACGCTTAGAAATTAAGACTTACAGTATTTACAAGCAGCAAATTATGTTGTAGGTTCTAAAGTGCTATACAAGTGTATATAAAGAAATTGCTTTTTTTTAATAGAGTTCCTTGATATAGTTATGCAGAACTGGGTTGGCATATTAAAGGCAAAGGGCTAAATTATTTGCCTGTAGTGAAGGAGAAATGCAGAAGTGAGAAAAAGTGTTTCAGAAATCTATTTCTATCTATCTATCTATCTATCTATCTATCTATCTATCTATCTATCTATCCATCCATCCTTTCATTTTAGCTTTATAAACTTACTTCTTGCAAAAAGGAAAGACACAAAATGTTGCTTCCAAATTTACAAAGGGAGAAGCCAGCAACATTTTCACGTCAGGTAAAAATGGAGCAAAAATCAAACCGTTCTGCCCAACCTCGTGTCTGCCACAAAATAAAAATTAAAAGAATTGTATTGGCTGAAATCTCAATAAACTTCTGCGTTCTTTATGAAGTCTATTAGAAACAAAGAGCTTCCAAAGTTTGCAATTTCATAATTCTGGGTTGTCTGGGGGGTTGTTTTTTAGAGTTGGGTGTTTAATGTTTGTAAACAATAATATTTACAGATGGTCCTGGCTTGGTTGTCTGCAGCAGTGTGTTATTACGTTTTGCAATAACAATTTGCTGCCCAGAGTCTCTTTGAAACAAGATGGGTAGCAAATAAATGTAATCAATAAAAAAAAAATACAGGTAGTCCTTGACTTACGATCAGTTGGGCCCAACATTTGAGTTGCTAAGTGAGACAGTTGTTAAGCGAGTTTTGCCCCATTTTACGACCTTTCTTTCCACAGTTATTAAGTAAATCACAGTTGCAGTGCTTAGGTTAGTAACATGGTCATTAAGTGGCCTCCCCATTGACTTTGCTTGTCCGAAGATTGCAAGAGATGATCGCATCACCACCGGGACACTGCAACCATTAAGTATGAACCAGTTGCTAAGGGTCCGAATTTTGATCACATGACCCTGGGGATGCTGCAACGGTCGTTAAGTGTGAAAAACGGTCACCGGTCATTTTCTTCAGTGCCATCATTAACTTTGGATGGTCATTAAACGAACGGTTGTTAAGTCGAGGACTACCTGCAAATAAGGCCCAGCCTGCAGAAACTTAAAAGCGCAGCCACAGGACCAGCCAAGGACTGGCTTTCCCCCAGAATTCAGGGGTAGGCAACCTTGGCTCTTTTATGACTTGTGGACTTCAACTCCCAGAATTCCTGAGCCAGCCATGCTGAGGGGACAGGGAGAGATTTCCCAGCTGAGCCATGCTGGCTCAGGAATTCTGGGAGTTGAAATCCACGAGTCATAAAAGGGCCAAGTTTGAAGACCCCTGGTTTAAATATTTAAATATTTTTTCCTCATGGTCACGTGATCAAAATTCAGGCATTTGGGCAGGGGTAGGCAACCTTGGCTCTTTTATGGACTTCAACTCCCAGAATTCCTGAGCCAGCCACCCTGAGGAAAAAGGGAGAGGTTTCCAAGCTGAGCCATGTTGGCTCAGGAATTCTGGGAGTTGAAGTCCACGAGTCATGAGGGGGCCATAGTTCCCCCATGCTGGCTCAGGAATTCTGAGAGTTGAAGTCCATGAGTCATGAGGGGGGCCATAGTTCCCCCATGCTGGCTCAGGAATTCTGGGAATTGAAATCCACGAGTCATGAGGGGGCCATAGTTCCCCCATGCTGGCTCAGGAATTCTGGGAGTTGTAGTCCACAAGTCATGAGGGGGCCATAGTTCCCCCATGCTGGCTCAGGAATTCTGGGAGCTGAAGTCCACGAGTCATGAGGGGGCCATAGTTCCCCCATGCTGGCTCAGGAATTCTGGGAGTTGAAGTCCACGAGTCATGAGGGGGCCATAGTTCCCCCATGCTGGCTCAGGAATTCTGGGAGTTGAAGTCCAAGAGTCATAAAAGAGCCAAGGTTGCCTACCCCTGCCCCAGATGTTCCCCTCACCTCCAATTTTGTAGACGTCTTGAAGAGGCAGGCGCAGAGGTTTATCTGTAGGGCGAGTGGGGGGCAGGATTGTATCCAGGGCCTCCAGAAGGGAGACCCCGCTGGCGTTGCCTTCCTTGCGTTCCACTTTCCATCCTTTGAACCACGGCATCTAGGCGACAAAATGGCAAAAGGGCTTTTTGAGCAGGGCTACCTGTACAACCCAAATCTTCCATGCCAGAACAAAGAGGCACCTTCCCCCCCCAAAAGAGGAAAACCATCACAACTTTTTTTTGTTTACATATGTTAACTGATACTGAAACTCTTAAACGAGGGATAAAAATTAACACAAACTAAATAAAAAGCAAGGAAGAAGAAACAACAGAAGCCTTGGTGGCGCCAGTGATTAGAATGCAGTATTGCAGGCTAATTCTGCCCACAGTCGGGCATTCGATCCTGACTGGTTCAAGGTTGACTCAGCCTTCCATCCTTTTTGAGGTCGGTAAAATGAGGACCCAGATTGTTGGGGTCAACATGCTGACTCTGAAAACCGCTTAGAGGGTGCTTATAAAGCACTATGAAGCAGTCTATAAGTCTAAGTACTGCTGCTGTTATTGTGAATGAGGGTGTGGTTTGCTCCTTGTTTATATCAGTGGGTTGCCCTGCCAGTGTTGATGGCTTTTGGTTTTGTCCTTAATTAGGGGATTATTTTCTGCTTGATTGTTGTCTGGTGTTAATCCCCGCTTATCTGGCTGCTGAATGATGCAGGGGTTGTATCCATTTATTTCCTTGTTAACCATGTTATTGTCTCTGTTGAATGGGGTGTAGATGTGGCTTATGTCCAAGTGTCTTTTGATGGCTGACTTGGCTAAATGCCAAGCGGCTAGGAATTCCTGGTGGTGGAGTCAAGAGAGGAATTAGCCTGGAGTCATTATGTCCCCACAAACTGCCTAAGTCCAGTCCCTCTTGAATTCCCTTTCTTCAATGCTGCTGAGCCGGTGTATATCTTTTTTTTAAAAAATGGGAGAGGACTTTTTCCTCTCAGACTAAAGGAATCTCTCCCTTTCAAGTCCCTTTTAAGAAAATTATAAACTTGTTTAGAGCCACTTTAGTTATTTGTTCGATTTTTATCCCGCCATAATTACTTTATAAATTAACTCAAGGCAGCGAACATATCTGATAATCCTTCCTCCTATTTTCCGTACAACCACCACCTCTGGAGATGGGTTGGGCTGAGGGACTGGCCTAAAATCACCCAGCTGGCTTTCATGCCTGATGTGGGACTAGAACTCACCATCTCCCGGTTATTGGCCCAAAGTCACTCAGCCAGCTTCTATGCCTGAGGTGGGACTAGAATGCACCGTCTCCTGGTAATTGGCCCAAAGCCACCCATCCAGTTTTCATGCTTGATCTGAGATTATAACTCACCGTCTCCTGGTGATTGGCCCAAAGTCACCCAGCCAGCTTCTATGCCTGAGGTGGGACTAGAACTCACCATCTCCCGGTTATTGGCCCAAAGACACCCAGCCAGCTTCTATGCCTGAGGTGGGGCTAGAATTACCGTCTCCAGGTGATTGCCCCGAAGTCACCCAGCCAGCTTTCATGCCTAGGGCAGGACTAGAATTCACCGTTTCCTGGTGATTGGCCCAAAATCACCCAGCCCGCTTTCATGCCTAAGGCTGAGCTAGAACTCCCAGTACCTGGCTTCTAGGCCAGCATCTTAACCACTACATCAAGCTGACTCTCTTTTCCACTAAAGCGAGTGAAGAATACATGCATTTAAGTCGCTCTGGAATTATTGAGCTGCTTGAGCTTCAAACACATTCAAAGAAAGGGTTCAGAGATGAAGGAGGATTTGGGGTCTTTCTGAAAAGCAAAGGCTGCAATATTTCTAAAAGGTCACCTTTAATTTGGAAAAACTCTTATGGCTAACCAGCCGGCTGTAGCCAAGTCCCAGAATATACCCAAAATGGGAGCTCTCTCTCTCTCTCTCTCTCTGAGTTGCCCTCCCAAAGCTTACGTTGGGAGACGGTTCCAGCATATTATCGCCGTGCCAGCCCGAGATGGGGACGAAGGGGACGGTGGCCGGGTTGTAGCCGATCTTCTTGATGTAGGCGCTGACTTCCTTGACAATCTCATCATAGCGCTTCTCACTGTACGGAGGCTCAGTGGAGTCCATCTTGTTGATGCCGACGATCAGCTGCTTGACACCCAACGTGTAGGCCAGCAAGGCGTGTTCGCGGGTCTGCCCGTTTTTGGAGATGCCCGCTTCAAATTCCCCTACCCCGGCAGCTACAATCAGGACGGCACAGTCAGCCTGCAGGGGAGAGGGAGAGAGGGGTGAAGTCAATTTGCAGAAGACAACACAAGCATAGCTCTAAAATTCCCCACAGTTGTGACTTGGCCAGGTCATCTGGCTGCCCCAGTTAGCCTTGTCCCCAATGCAAGCAACTTGTATAGTAATAATAATAATAATAATAATAAAGTTGGAAGGGACCTTGGAGGTCATCTAGTCCAACCCCCTGCTCAGGCAGAAAACCCTATACCATTTCAGGCAAATGGCTGTCCAGTCTCTTCTTAAAAACTTCTAGTGTTGGAGCATTTACTGCTTCTGGAGGCAGGTTGTTCCACTGGTTAATTGTTCTCACTGTCAGGAAGTTTCTCCTTAGTTTTAGGTTGCTTCTCTCCTTGATTAGTTTCCACCCGTTGCTTCTTGTCCTGCCTTCAGGGGCTTTGGAGAATAGCTTGACTGCCTCTTCTTTGGGGCAGCCCCTGAGATGTCACCCCTAGTCCTTCTTGTCATGAAAATAGACATACCCAATTCCAGAAGCTGTTCCTTATATGCTTCAGCCTCCAGTCCCCTAATCATCTTTGTTGCTCTTCTCTGTACTCTTTCTAGAGTCTCAACATCTTTTTTTGTTCTTGGTCTGGTAGCAAAGAATCATGGATGACCTGGCCAACTGACCCATTTCCAACATCTTCTGAGCCCCGGTAAAGAAAGCTCTTAACTTCTGACCCAGGCAAAATATATTTAAATATCTACAAGGGCCCAATTGGAGAAGTCACCACTGCAGAGGGTCCTCCTTTCCTTCCCAGGATCAATCTTGGCCATCTGGGTGCAAAGTGGAAGGAATAAAAGAATACAGAGAGACTGAGGAGAGCCATGTTTCTTGGGGCCAGTCTAGGACTTTGTATCCACAGCTAGTAAATGGAAGGATTAACTCAAGTGTTTTTCAACTTTGGCCACGTTAAGATGGGTGGACTTTGACTTTCACAATTCCCCAGCCAGCAGGACTAGCTAGGAATACTGGGAGTTGAAATCCACTCATTTTAAAGTAGCTAAGGTTGAAAAAGCACCTGAAGGCAGGAAAAGAAGCAACGGGTGGAAACTAATCAAGGAGAGAAGCAACCTAGAACAGTGGTTCTCAACCTTTCTAATGCCGCGACCCCATAATACAGTTCCCCATGTTGTGGTGACCCCCAACCACTTATACATCACCGGGTGCCAGGGGCGTGGCTAAAGAAAAGGGGAAAAAATGGCGGACAGCCTTGTTTGGCGACCCCCGTGAAATGGTCGTTCGACCCCAAATGGGGTCCCAACCCACAGGTTGAGAACCACTGACCTAGAACTAAGGAGAAACTTCCTAACAGTGAGAACAATTAATCAGTGGAACAACCGGCCTCCAGAAGCGGTGAATGCTCCAACACTGGAAGTTTTCAAAAAGAGACTGGACAGCCATTTGTCCAAACTGGTATAGCGTTTCCTGCCTGAGCAACGGGTTGGACTAGATGACTTCCAAGGTCCCTTCCAACTTTATTAGTACTACTACTATTACTACTACTATTATTATTTCCAGCCTGTATAAGAAATACACAAATCAAATATAAACAATGTTTTAGCACATCAGGTGCTAAATGGTCCCAGAGAGTTTATTCATTTGATTATTTTGCCACCCATCTCATTTTAAGTGACTCAAAGTTTAACCAAAAGTTTTTTTTATAAGCTACTGGAAATGCACTCATCACTTCTATCAGCAATTCCATAAGCTCACCTCCTGAGTTTTGAAGATTGGCAATCCATGTCCAATTGGAACATTGTTTTTTTATTTATTTTTTTATTCATTCTAAGTATTTTAACGTCATTGTTGAGGAATATTTGAAAATATTACATTCATTTCCAGTCCATGAAGGAATGTAAATATAGTAGAAATAATGTCGACACTTTTCACAAGAACGATAGGAAAACTATATAGGTAGTCCTCGACCTATGACCACAATTGTGCCCAAAATTTCTGCTGTTAAGCAAGACATTTATTAAGTGAATCGCATCCCATTTTATGACTTCTCTTGACACAATTGTTAAAAGATGATGGCTGAGGAATTCTGGGAGTTGAAGTCCACAAGTCACAAAAGGGCCAAGTTTGAAGACCTCTGTTCTGAAGGGGAAGCCGGATTCACTTAACAACTGAGTGATTCACTTAACAACTGTTGTGGCAAGAAAGGTTGTAAAATAGGCCAAAGTCACACTCAACAACTGTCTTGCTTAGCAACAGAAATTTTGGGCTCCATTGTAGTTGTAAGAAGGGGTCAAATTATTCTCCAAAGCATTAGAAAGAAAGATGAGAAATAATGGTTGGAAACTGATCAAGGAGAGAAGCAAGCTGGAATTAAGGAGAAATTTCCTGACAGGACAATTAACCAGTGGAACAACCTGTCTCCAGAAATCGTGGGTGCTCCATCACTGGAGGTTTTTAAGGAGAGACTGGACAGTCACCTGTCTGAGATGGTATAGATCAGTGGTTCTCAACCTGTGGGTCGGGACCCCATTTGGGGTCGAATGACCATTTCATGGGGGTCGCCAAATCCTGCTGTCCGCCATTTTTTTCCCTTTTCCCTAGCTGTTCTACTCCTCTTATTGGTGGCCACACCCACTTGGGGGTCACCACAACATGGGGAACTGTATTATGGGGTCACGGCATTAGAAAGGTTGAGAATCACTGGTATAGATTCTCCTGATTGAGCAAGGGGCTGGACTAGAAGACCTCCAAGATCCCTTCCAGCTCTATTCTATTATTATTATCTACTACTTGTACAGAAAATCAAGTTTGCATGTTGCCATACACCCAATACAACCTGGGAGGAGCAGGCAGGATTGGGCCTTGCAGAAAACAACAGTGTGGCTTCTCTACAAGCAGTGGAACAACTTGCCTCCAGAAGCTGTGGGTGCTCCATCACTGGAGGCTTTTAAAAAGAGACTGGATAGCCATTTGTCTGAAATGGTATAGGGCAGACATGTCAAACACAAGGCCTGGGGGCTGGATGCGCCCGCGAAGTGGTTTCATGCGGCCCACGAAGCCATCCTGGAAACAGTGAGGCAACGGCCCCCACTGCCTTGGCCCTGGCCCCGGCCGGCCGGGAGGGAGACAATGTACAATTTTGTGGTAGCCATCTTGGTACTTGCCTGGGTGGACCATGCCTTGGCACTTGCCCTGGTCCCACCCCCTTCTGCCAGAGACCCTCAGATCTGTCCCACTCCTGCCCAGGCCCCCACAGGCACCCTTGACGCAAATGATGTAGAACTGGCCACGCCCACCCAGTAGGCCACACCCACTCCATCCACACCCACCCAGTAAGCTGCACCCACTCTGGCCACACCCACCTGCCCCCCCCCAAGGGCAACCGCAATGCTGATGGCGCCCTCAGTGAAATTGAGTTTGACACCCCTGTGGTATAGGGTCTCCTGCTTGAGCAGAGGGTTGGACTAGAACAGAGGTAGGCGACCTTGGCTCTTTTATGACTCGTGGACTTCAACTCCCAGAATTCCTGAGGCAGCCATGCTGAGGGGACAGGGAGGTTTCCAAGCTGAGCCATAGCTGGCTCAGGAATTCTGGGAGATGAAGTCCACGAGTCATAAAAGGTTGCCTACCTCTGACTAGAAGACCTCCAAGGTCCCTACCATCTCTGTTATTCTGTTAACCAGACCAGGGCTCTTGTTAACCCCAGGAGAAACAGCAGCTTCTAGAACAGGGGTGTCAAACTGCTGGCTGCGTCATCCGGAAGCCGCGTCCGCCGGCAATGGCAAAACCAACCCGATACGTTGCGCGACATCACGTAATGTTGCGAGCTTGACATGTCTGTTCTAGAAGGATTCCCTCCATGTATTGTGAAACACGTAGAAATCTTGACATCATGCAAGTGAGAAGGAACTGAGGCAAGTGCATCTTGGAAGAAAATCCTGCCAGAGATCTTTGCCTGTTGCTGTGTCCCCAGTATAGGATCAATCTAAGAGATGAATGTCACTGGCCCTTTAAGGCCTTGTGCAGCTGAGAAATCCATGGCTCTGGATAGCTGCCGATCAAGACTATAAAGCAGAATTTTCAGTGCTCACAGATTAGCACTGATGATGTTGCCAAGTTTGAGTAATGAAACATCTGCAAGAAAACAACCCAGCTTGGAGATCACCAAGGACCCCACTATCATCATCATCTCCTCCTCCTCCTCTCCGCACACCACTTCCTTCTAGCACTGATGATGTTACCTAGTTGGGTAATGAAACGTCTGCAAGAAAACAACCCAGTTCGGAAAACACCATGGACCCAACAGTCCTCCTCCTCCTCCTATCCCCCACTCCCTTCTAACACTGATGATGTTATCTAGTTGGGTAATAAAAATCTGCAAGAAAACAACCCAGTTCGGAGAGCACCAAGGACCCAACAGTCCTCCTCTTCTTCCCTTTCCCCCTCCTCCCCATATCCCCCACTCCCTTCTAACATTGATGATGTTATCTAGTTGGGTAATGAAACGTCTGCAAGAAAACAACCCAGTTCGGAGAGCACCAAGGACCCCACAGTCCTCCTCCTCCTTCTTCTCCTCCTTCCCCTCAAATCCCACCCCTTTCTACCGCTGATGATGTTACTGAGTTGGGTAATGAGATGTCTGCAAGGAAGCAACTAAGCTCAGAGAGCACCAGTGGAGTTATCATTATCAGTGGAGGCAGAAGTAAGAGGTGTTCTTCTTGAATTGGTAGTCCAGTGTCAGCAGATTCCCTCAAATACAGGATCCTGTTGCCCATTTCTCTAATCCAGGGCCCTCCAGCTTCCAAAATTCCCTCGAGGCTCAGCCAATTGGACAATGCCAGATTGGGAAAAGCGGAGTTCGGGAACTGAACCCACCCAGCTAAGCCGCCTGCTGCTGGCTGGCTTCCCCCCCTTTCTTACCTGTGAAGTCCCTGTGATCATGTTCTTGATGAAATCTCGATGGCCTGGAGCGTCGATGATGGTGATGTAATACTTGGTGGTCTCAAACTTCCACAGGGAAATGTCAATGGTGATGCCTCGCTCACGTTCAGCTTTCAGTTTGTCCAGCACCCAAGCGTACTTGAAGGAGCCCTTTCCCATCTGGCAGGTAGGGAAAAGAAAAGAAAAAACACACACATTTACCACCATGGTAGCCTCTACCGCAGTGGTTCTCAACCTGTGGGTCGGGACCCCATTTGGGGTCGAATGACCATTTCACAGAGGTCGCCAAACCATGCTGTCCGCCATTTTTTTCCCTTTTCCCTAGCTGTCCTACTCCCTCTTATTGGTGGCCACACCCACTTGGGGGTCACCACAACATGGGGAACTGTATTATGGGGTCACGGCATTAGAAAGGTTGAGAATCACTGCTCTACCGCATCATGTGATCAAAATCCACATCAACTGACATGTATTTATGATGGATGTAGCCAGTGGCGGGATTCAGCCGGTTCGCACCACTTCGGCAGAACCGGTAGCTAATTTCTTGTTGCCCAGGCCCAGAATGGACTTCCGGAAGCGGCCTCCACACAGAGAACCGGTTGTTCACCTATTTGAATCCCACCACTGGATGTAGCATCCCAGGGTCACATGATTGCCACTTGCGACTTTCCCAGCTAGCTTCCAAGAAGTAAAGTTAAAGTATGGTAAAGTAAAGTAAAGTATGGTTGCTGGAATTGGGTAGTCCAGGGATAGGCAACCTTGGCTCTTTTATGACTCATGGACTTCAACTCCCAGAATTCCTGAGCCAGCCATGCTGAGGGGAAAGGGAGAGGTTTCCAAGCTGAGCCATGCTGGCTCTGGAATTCTGGGAGTTGAAGTCCACGAGTCATAAAAGAGCCAAGGATGCCTACCCCTGCTCTAAACTAATAAAATCTACATTAACATTAATTATGCTTTCATATGTTCCTCTAACTGAGGGGTCTTCAAACCTGGCTCCTTTACGAGTCGTGCACTTCAACTCCCAGAATTCCTGAGGCAGCCATGCTGAGGAGAAAGGGAGAGGTTTCCAAGCTGAGCCATGCTGGCTCAGGAATTCTGGGAGTTGAAGTCCACGAGTCATAAAAGAGCCAAGGTTGCCTACCCCTGGTCTAGTCTAATGAAGAGAACGACTAGGGGGTGATATAATATCTTAGCTTAAACTACGTTAAGAGTATCTTAACATCAATCTTCCTTCTAAACAAGCCTACATAATCAGGAACATTATTAGCATATAACACCGCTAAAAATAATTCTCTCTTTAATTCCAGCAGACCTATTTGTATACAGCAGTGTTTCCCAAACTTGACGATTTTAAGGCATGTGGACTTCAACTCGTTGCTGGCTGTGGAATTCTGGGAGTTGAAGTCCTCATGCCTTAAAATTGTCAAGTTTGGGAAACACTGGTATACAGTATGCATCAGGGAGGGGGAATCTATTATTTAGAAGCGGTTTCATCTGAAGAAGAAAGAAAAAGATCTGAAGATAAATTTCTGCTTCATGGACAATTAGATTATTTCAGAGGCCCTGCCCGAACTCAGCTAAATTGCACCACTAACAATAAACTGGTGTTTTTCTCGCTGAAAATTGAGCATGCTAGATTTTGCTGTATCACGAGAAGCCTCTTTGATAGTCCCACCCTTGCCCACTTATCAATTGGTTATGCCCGGGGATGGAGACAAATGAGAGGCTGTATTTTCTAGCTTCGTACAGTGCCAGCTCTGTTTGACAAACTGGAAAAAAGAAGCAGCAGGCATATGATTAAGCCTTTTCAAAGCCAGGGAGCGAGAGCGAGACAGAGCATTTAAACTAACCCTCCATCTGTTCTTTAAAAACAAGCCTCTAATTTATCACATTTTTCTTTCTCTCTCTCTCTTTCTTTCTTTCTTTCTTTCTTTCTTTCCTTCCTTCCTTCCTTCCTTTTCTGTTTTCCCCCTTTTTTCAGTTCTTCCTTTGATAGTCTTATTAAAGCCGGCCTCCATTTCCTATACATGCAATCAAGTGAAAAAGAATCCACAGCCTTGCATCAGAAAATGGAGTCGCAAAGCACAGTCACTTGGCTATTAATAGCCGGCTTGCAGCTCGTTGGCAATGCCAGGGAAGGTGGCAGATCAATGCCTGCTTGGCTTAAAGGCACAGATCATGAGAGAAAAATGCAGAAAAACGCAGAGAGAAAAATCAGGGGTAGATTATTGGGCTAAGCAAAATAGAATAATGTCTAACCTCTTCAAAAGAACAGATTTCAAAATAAGATCTAACCTCTTCAAGAATATCAGATTTTTTTTTTTTTAATGTAACTATCTATCCCTGTTAAAAAAGAACAGAGTGGTGATTCTCAATCTTGGCAACTTTAAGACGTGTGGACTTCAACTCCCAGAATTCTCCAGCCAGCAAAGTTCACACTGGTTGGGGAATTCTGACAGTTAATATCCATACATTTTAAAGTTGCCAAGGCTGAGAAACACTGGAGTTTTGTGATATCAATAAATATTTTTTTTTAAAAAAAAAAAACTTGGGTAGAACCATTATCAATGAACGAGTTTCTATTTTCTCAAGAAGTAAAAGAAATACCCTGAAATATTGCTCCTCTGTTAAAAACAAAACAAAACAGGAAAGCATCTCCCTCCTGGGAGGTGTAATATTACAGTTCTATCTTGGCTTGTTCCTGCCTTAATAAGCCAACATTGTAAGCCATTCAGATATAATACTAGTGACAGTCTTCCTGGTTTTTTTGCCAATATCCATTAGTATGGTGTTTCTCAACTCTGACAACTTTAAGATATGAATGAATGAATAGAGCTGGAAGGGCCCTTGGAGGTCTTCTAGTCCATCCCCCTGCTCAAGCAGGAGAACTTATATTATCTCAGACAAGTAACTGTCTAGCCTCTTTTTGAAAATGTGGACTTCAACTCCCAGAATTCCCCAGCCACCATGGTTGGGGAATCCTGGGAGTTGACGTACATACATCTTTAAAGTGCCGTGGCTGAGAACTGAATTAGCAAAAGAGATCAAACAAATGCAGTTAATTCACTGGTTCTAAATAAGGCAGAATTATGGTAAATTAGCTTAGCTTTGTGACTGAATGAGGCCTGGAGAATACAGAATATTAGCACGTTGGTGGCATCTTTGCTGATTTCTAATTTGTAGCTGAATAAATTAGCACAGAATATAAACTGACATTGCTAAGCAGGGGAAAAAAAAAATCCTACTGTTTTACCAGGATATGGTTTAACTGTAAGCAGACTTGTAGCTAAAGTAAAAATCGGTGTAAAAAACCCCAATTTGCCAAGAAAGCAAGCAAACAAACCAAACTCGGAAAACCAATTTGTTTTCCTGGCACTCAGTTATGTTTTCATTTAAAGCAAAGTTGCAGATCTAACCATTCGTAGCATGAAAAGCTATTTGCAATGGAGAAGCAGCCCAAATATTAACAACTGATCCTCAGAAATTCTGTTATCAGTCACCTTTGGCAAATGACAGAAGAGTTGGGATAGAGAAGAGCTTATTGTGGTTGCCCCCCATCAATTCTTCTCTAAAAAGCCAAGTCGTGCAGCTGCGTTTTAATAAACGTTATGAAATGGCTTCTTATTTTGCCAAACAGCGCTTCCCCAGTGTCCTGCTAGCAATTATGCAAAAGCAAGACAAAGAAATAAAGATCTGACACACCTTTTGGGATTATGCGCCATCTTTTGGCGGCTCTACATCAAAAATTAACGATGTACAAATTGGGCCCCACTAAAGGATGGATTTAGGTTCTTTTTTAAAATATGTGAATAGCGGCTGGGCTGCTTTGCATAATTTATTCAGCTTCTAGAGAAGGACAAGTACTTTTGCAGTGGCGCTAAGAACTCGCTTCCTGGGCACTAAAATTATCTTAATTTGCTATTCTGGTCTCTTGCGATGTCACTGCCTATGGCTGCCACCCACGGGTCATTTTCCCCAAGCCCTCTGTAAACCTTAGGGACTAGAAACTTGCAAAGTGCTGAGAAGAGAAAGCCCACCGGGCAAGATTTCAGATTTGTAAAATATAATCACAACACTGCAGAATTCATGCCATCTATCAGGGAAGTGAAAATATTGGCATATGGAGTATTTATTGTATTTTACTAAAAGCTTTACAAAAGCAGGATACGCATTTATTTCAGGGAACTGATCAGGGAGAAATGAAGGAATCAAGGTTAGATATGTACCCGTTGTAAAACTAAAAATAAACTCTACTCTCTTCCGGCTAAGATGGGACAGGAGTTTAAATTCACTATCCTGAATTTAAGCTTCATTAAAAAGGGACTGCCCCAAAGAAGAGGGAGTCAAGCTATTCTCCAAAGCACCTGAAGGCAGGACAAGAAGCAACGGATGGAAACTAACCAGAGAGAAGCAACCTAGATCTAAGGAGAACAATTAATCAGTGGAACCGCCTGCCTCCAGAAGTTGTGAATGCTCCAACACTGGAAGTTTGTAAGGGGGCCATTCACATTAAACCTTTAGTTTAGTTTTAGCTTGGTGCGTAAAATGAATACAGCTATGTTGGTTTGCAGACTAAAGCTCATGGCTTAGCATACTGGATATACCCAGCCAATTGGGGTTTTAGTCAATGGTAACTTAGTCAAATCATGGTTTAAGGCAAAGGTAGGCAACCTTGGCTCTTTTATGATTTGTGGACTTCAACTCCCAGAATTCCTGAGCCAGCATGGCTCAGCTTGAAAACCTCTCCCTTTCCCCTCAGTGTGGCTGGCTCAGAATTCTGGGAGTTGAAGTCCACGAGTCATAAAAGAGCCAAGGTTGCCTACCACTGGTTTAGGGTGTGTGTGAACTCAGCTGATGATATGGAAGATGGAATCTGGGTTAACTATCATCAAACCCAATTCTGAAAAACCATGTTTACAAATACGTGCATACATTTATGAATATTTCGAAGATTAACAAAAAAAATATCTAGGGATTTTGCTTTTTTAAAAAATAATGGAACATGTCATCTTTTGCTGAACTATTGTCTTACTACCTGTAGTAGTTTTCCTGAATAACTAACTGGAGAAATTAGCTAGATGTAGTAGCATCAGCACCACCTTTAACAGAAGAGACTGTTCTGAATCCCTTCTTCCATGACTGAGCTTGCTTAATTTAAATTTAAAAAACAGATATGGCCCAATTCGAATTAAGCCACAACACTGAACTGTGCTTGGCTCATCTGGGGACCTAAACATGGTTGACCCCAGCTTAGTCCTTGGAAGAGAGACTCCAGAGATTCCAGAGCTGAAAAGTAGATTAAAAAGTCAAGAAAAAAATGGCAAATTCCATCCCTTACAATATCCAGGAAACTGTGCTAGGAGTTCAGCTTGTTTCAAGGATGGCTTATCTTCCCTTTATGTATAGTATCTGATGTGGCCACTACAGAATGCAACAGGCAGTTGTGAAGCCACCTGCTGTGCAAAAAACCCTACCTCTTGATTTTTGCACAGATCCAGAGAGGTTTTCTGCACACCAAATGAATTATTAGTGTTTTCAGTCTGGTGAGTCAGTAGGAACAATTGCACCCCTTTGTAGATGCCATCCTAACAAGAGGAGCTGGTTGGTTTAGTCCTATCCAACACAGAGAATATTTGTGCACAACCGTCGTCTTAGAACCAGCAACGCAAATATTATCAGTATAAAGAGAGAAAGATCCACAACGGGCCAATGAATGAAATTGTTCTGCCAGGAAGTACAGTGGAATTTTTCTTATAGAGTTCCAATTCTTTTTTCTATGCTAGTTGTCTTCTCCCAAACGGAAAGGGAAGGGAAGGGAAGGGAAGGGAAGGGAAGGGAAGGGAAGGGAAGGGAAGGGAAGGAAGGAAGGAAGGAAGGAAGGAAGGAAGGAAGGAAGGAAGGAAGGAAGGAAGGAAGGAAGGAAGGAAGGAAGGGAAGGAATTGGGAAGAAGGAAGAGAGATGGGAGAAGAAAGAAGGAAGGAATTGGGAAGAAGGGAGGGAGATGGGAAGAAGGAAGGAAGGAATTGGGAAGAAGGAGGAAAGAAGGAAGGAATTGGGAAGAAGGATATGGGAAGAAGGAAGGAGAGATTGGAGAAGGAAGGAAGGAAGGAATTGGGAAGAAAATGGAGGGAGATGGGGAAAAGGAAGGAGAGATGGGAGAAGGAAGGAAGGATAAGGGAGGGTGGGAAATAAGGAAGGAAGAGAGATGGAAGAAGGAAGGAGAGATGGGAGATGGGATGAAGAAGAGAGGATAGGAAGGAAGGAAGGAGAGACAGGATAAGAGAGGGAGGGGAGAAGAGAGGGAGGGGAGAAGGGAGGGAAGGAGGGAAGGAAGGGAGAGCCAATATGAAGGTCAGAGGGATAAAGAACCAGAGAAGCCCCCCCCCTCGTCTTACCTCTGCGGCTTCCTTCTCGAATTTCTCGATGGTCCGCTTGTCGATGCCCCCACATTTGTAGATGAGATGGCCGGTGGTGGTGGACTTGCCAGAATCTACATGTCCAATGACCACAATATTGATGTGGGTCTTTTCCTTCCCCATATTTCCTCTCTGGGCCGAGGCCTGGGCTTACAGGGGGCGGGCAGGGGAGGGGGCTGATTATAGCCAAAAGGGTGGAAAAGTGGAGCAGCGGCTGCGAAGAAAAGCTGTGTGCAAAGAGAAGAGGAGGCGATCAGGAGGTCTGTTGTCAGGAGCAACAAGAACACAACACAGAGCCACATAACACCATACTGCCAAGCCTTGGGTTCCACAGGCAACAAAACCCGTGTCCGTCTATGTATGTGTGTGTGTGTGTTATAACAACATTAGGCCTCTTCCCCAGGCATTACATTTATTGTTTGTGAAATGTCAGCCAGGTTTTCAGATCCAGATTTTGGATCGATCCCTTTTCAAAGTTTTATCAAACTTCTCCTGCCTTCTTGAGTAGACCTGACACCCCACCTGTCTGTATTTCACATTCCAAGTTTAGTTGTTTTATTGCATCGAAAATATAAGCCATAGGATACAGAATATAGATTGCAACTGGGCGCGGTGGTATTTGTATGAAAAACACCCGGGAAGGTGAAAATATAAACAAAAGCTTTAAAGGTAAGAAAGAAAATATAAACAAAAGCTTTAAAGGTAGGAAAGTTTGACACAATTTCTAAAATGGAAAATGAAAGTCTGGAAGCTTATGCTATGCAGCCTAGCGAAAGAGGTCAAATAAAAGGCAATAAAAAGCGGCAACAGATTCTTTTATAAGATGACAAAGACCTAGTTCTCTAAGCTTAACACTAAATCCTTAATACTCATATCTTGTTATTTATGAATATTGAGAGAAGCGGGGGAAGGGCCTCTTGTGATTCAGCACAAAGCACCCCACAACCAAATGCAGGGGGATCAATCCATTTCCATCTGTTATCAGGGAACTACTCTTTTTTAAATGTTTTAACTTGGTCCTAAACCAGGGGTAGGCAACCTTGACTCTTTTATGACTCGTGGACTTCAACTCCCAGAATTCCTGTGCCAGCATGAGGGAACTATGGCTCCCTCATGACTCGTGGACTTCAACTCCCAGAATTCCTGAGCCAGCATGGGGGAACTATGGCTCCCTCATGACTCGTGGACTTCAACTCCCAGAATTCCTGAGCCAGCATGGGGGAACTATGGCCCCCTCATGACTCGTGGACTTCAACTCCCAGAATTTCTGAGCCAGCATGGCTCAGCTTGGAAACCTCTCCCTTTTCCCTCAGCGTGGCTGGCTCAGGAATTCTGGGAGTTGAAGTCCACGAGTCATAAAAGAGCCACGGTTGCCTACCCCAGTCCTAAACTAATACAAAATGGGGGTCCCTTGCTTCCTGGGGGTCCTAAATTGAGAAACTGGGTTGATATGGACAGCACCCCTCTCCTTTTTTTAAAAAAACACACTTTCCTTTCTGGATAGGATGCAGAAAGGGGAACCCCTTGCTTATCTGAATGCTGAGGAAGGTTAATTTAAGCTGCACCCCATTTTTGACCTCAGCGACAAATAAGGAGGCAACCTAACTTGAAGGGATCCAACACAGCAACTAGGCCAGGGGTAGGCAACCTTGGCTCTTTTATGACTTGTGGACTTCATCTCCCAGAATTCCTGAGCCAGCATGGCTCAGCTTGGAAACCTCTCCCTTTTCCCTCAGCGTGGCTGGCTCAGGAATTCTGGGAGTTGAAGTCCACGAGTCATAAAAGAGGCAAGGTTGCCTACCCCTGAACTAGGCCGAGCAACCTGAATTTAAGCCATGGCTTTCTAAAAGCTTGCAACCGACGGGATGTACCCCAAGGTTAGCTGAAAAAATTACGCATTTTGTCCGTTTCTTTCAGCACCCCATTCCCCCAACACTTACCTTTGCTTACAGTGGGGGTTCAAATTAGTTGCACCTTCTCCTCCTGACCTAAAGTTGCATGTTTTAGATTTAAAGGCTAAGACTAGATTTAGAAGATGGCTTAGCCTTCGGCTCAAGTCATCCTTAAAGACGAGGGCTATTTTTACGAGAAGATGATTTATTCATAAGCCACCCGTATCTCCAATCCACCCGCCCGAAAGATGATTCAACTCCGCTCCATTTTAGAACCTGTGTCTTTCCAGCCACTTTATTCCAAGGCAGTTGAGGAGTTTCATTATAAATTTGTCTTCCTATAGCCCAATATGGTGCTGCAAAAGGGAGGGGGGGAGCCATAAATAGCTTTTTTGCATGAGCTGCCGGAAGGGGGAGGGAGGGAAATGAGGTTATAAGAGCCTTTCTTTTCTCCCCCCCCCCCGCCCGCATACCGCAAAATATAAGCCAATATATGAAACAAATCTAATCCAATGGCTTCAATCCTCTTTTGCAAAAAAAAAAAAAAAAAAAAAGGAATAGGCCTTATATTGCATCTAAGCAGCCATCTCCGCCCGCCCCACCAAAAAACAAAACAAAAAGCCTTTTCCCCATTCTCTTCCTTGAAAATGCCATTTTATTCATTTTTTGCAAGGGAGTGAGGCTGGGTTCTTTTAGCAAAACTCCCCCCTCCCTTTCTCAGCAACCTGGGAAGAGGCAGAACAGGTGCATCCCTTGGGAATTTATCTGTGCTCTCAGCTTGACTTTAGAAGGAGGGAAGGGGGGGGGGGGTTAGAAATAAATAAATATATGCAAAGCCCAGATCTCGGTCCAATCTGCCTATCTCATTCTAAGAAGCCACCGCCATCCGTGCAAAATCAATAAATAAATGCATTTTTTTAAAAAAAACGCAAAAATAAATAAATGTTTTTTTTAAAATAAGGTATTTTTTAATTGGCCGAGGCCTCCCGAAGAGGCCAAAATGCGCGTTTGACATCAAAGGAAAGGTTCAAAAGCATCTCATCATCGCCCATCCCGCCGCCCCCCCCCTCCAGGGTCGAGCTCGGTTCGCAAGGCACGCGCTTCATTCCCCCCCCCCATCCTCCTTTGGCCACGGCTATTTTTAAAACCCAAAGCACCCACCCCGCGTTTAATTTGAGACCTCGTCTCATCATCTCCCCGGTTGGCGTGAAAGGTGAGGGGAGGAGGGAGGGAGGGGGGGGGCAGAGCGTGCTCCGCCCGGCCCCATTGAAAAATAAACCCCAATTTATTTTTTTTAAAAAGGAAAACAAAAAAAAAAAATCCCTTTCTTTGCTCCAGGCTCCCGCGGCTTACAAACCCCCCCCCCAAAAGAAACCCGGGTTAACCCGCCCTCGCCGTCTAGACGGCTTTCTTTTTTCTTTTTGCAAATCGGGGGCGAGAGAGGCAGGTGGCCGCGCAAGGTCAACTGAAAAGCCCGGGGCGCAAGGAGCGCGTTTTTGCGCGCGGCTCCTACCCTCGCTGGGAAGAAATAAGGAATAATGATAAAATAATGAAGGCGCGGGGGGGGGGTTAGAGAAAGGTGCCCTTCCTCTCTCTCTCTCTCTCTCTCTCTCTCTCTCTCTCTCTCTCTCTCTCTCTGTGTGTGTGTGTGTGTGTGTGTGTGTGTGTGTGTGTGTGTGTGTCTGGGTGTGTGAGAGAGAGAGAGGGAGAGGAAGAGGGAGATGCGCCAAAAGGGAGAGATCCAGTTCGACCCACGAAGCCACCCCCCGGAGCGGTGGGATCGCTTTTCCTCTCCATTGTGACCCCCGCGCCCCCTTTTCCAACACCTCCTGCGTAGCTGGGTGTGTGTGTGATGGAGGGAGGAAGGGAAGTGTGGGGGGGGTGAGGGCCCCAATCTACAACTTACAGCTGGGGAAAGCCGCTTGCAACCCCCCTCCACCCGCCGCCGCCCCGCACCCCTCCTCCGCCTTCAAAAGCCTCTTGCAACGACCTCGCCTCGCTCGCCCCCGTTGGAAAGGGCAGCGTGGGACCGACCCCCCCCTCCCCTCCCGCCCCAACGGCCTTCCCCCCCCACTCCACTCCTTCGGCAAGGCATGCCCACCCCGCAAGCCAGCAGACACGGACAGCCGGCCCGGTGCCCGTCCTTGGAGGCGCTACGAGCCGAGCACTGCGCTGCGCCCGGCCGGAGCTCTTACCGGCAGCGGCGGTTGGAGACGAGAGGCTGGCGAGCTGGGCTCGGAGCGCTTTATTGCGCGGAGCGAGTCCACCTATTGACGGCGGCGGCGCAATGCAGTCGCCCGCTCTCCCCTCCCCTCCTCGCACTACGGCATTGCGGTAGAGAGCGGAGGCGGGGAAGGAAGGAGGCGGGCGGAATACAAATACCCGCTAATGGGGGTTACATTGGGGGCACCCCAGAAGATGGACAGCATGCCGGGGCGCCCGGGATGCTCAAGCGGAGCGCGCAGCTACGTCCTTGGCTGCCCGGTCTGGGGGAGGCGGGGGGGAAAAGGATGCGTTCCCACGACCTGCTGGACCCAGGTCAGGAGAAGAGAGAGCAGCTTGGTTCTTTTAGGGAATTGCTGATGGGAGGAGAGTGTTGGGGATGGGAATGGGGGACCATGCCCGTTGGGTTCCGGGAAGGTTCGACTCGGAAAGCTGGGGGTGGGATTCCGTTTTCAGAGTCCGAGGTGTCGTGTGAATGCTGTATTCGTTCGGGTAGGGATTGCAAACGCGACGGGTCTGGGTTGCGGGAGGATTCAGCGCGAGGGGCAGATTCAGAAGGTAGGGGGGGAGTGGGATGAGAGGGGCAATGCAGTGACCGGGGTTCAAGGTGTCATGTGAAGGCAGTGCAGCTGGCTTTGTTAATATTTGTCATGTGACAAATATTTGTCATGTGAAGGCTTTGCAGCTGGCGATGGACTTCCTTCCCTGAAGACTATTGGGGAGAGGGGCTTAACAAGGCAATTTAAAAGCACCACAACGGCATTGTGAGAAGCAAGAAATGGAAAGAAGACCAAAGCAGCAAAAGAGGAAAAAGAGAGTGAACCTTGGCTCTTTTATGACTCGTGGACTTCAACTCCCAGAATTCCTGAGCCAGCTTGGGGGAACTATGGCCCCCTCATGACTCGTGGACTTCAACTCCCAGAATTCCTGAGCCAGCAGAGCTCAGCTTGGAAACCTCCCTTTTCCCTCAGCATGGCTGATTCAGGAATTCTGGGAGTTGAAGTTCACAAATCATAAAAACCAAGGTTGCCTACCCCTGCTATATCTTTTAGCACCCTCCTAAAATTAATTTAAAAAAGGGGAGTTGGGGCAATTGCCTATGAAGATTTATTGACTAAAGGGGGGGGAGGGTCTTGTCTTGGAGCTGCCTCAGCTGGAGCCCCAAAATGTCACCCATTGATAATTTTAGGAATATCCATGAAAGAGGAAACACGTTTTTTTTCAAGCTCATTGAGTTTCCTTGTTCACTGCAACCCAACCTGAGTCTTTCAATCTTGCAGCATCCAATCTAGGTTGGTCACTGCATGCTGCTAAAGCATTAGTGCACACAACTTGTTAAACACCCTTACCTAGCCTAAAAGGTGGAATAGGCCTAAAGTAGTAAATGAACTCCGCAATTTTTAAGACGTGTGGACTTCAACTCCCAGAATTCCCCAGCCAGCAAGGCTGACTTGAGGAATTCTGGGTGTTGAAGTCCACCCCTCTTAAAGTCTTCAAGGGCCATGGGGGGGGGGGAAGCACAAGGCAGCAATCCAGTCTTGAAGTCACTAAAACCTAAATGACAGAAAATGGGCCTCGCCTCCAGGTAAGAACACACCTGGTTCATCAGCAGCTGCTGCTAAAAGGTCCCAGGTACAGGTAGTCACGACCATAATTGAACTCCAAATTTCTGTTACTAAGTGAGACAGCTGTTAAGTGACTTTTGCCTCATTTTCCGACCTTCCTTGCCACAATTCTTAAATAAATCACTGCAGTTGTTAGTCACAAAACGTCTGCAAGCAAACAACGAAAGCTCTGAGAGCACCAAAGAACCTACGATCCCCCCCTCTCCCTTCTAGCACTGATGATGTTACCTAGTTGGGTAATGAAACATCTGCAAGCAAACAACCAAGCTCAGAGAGCATCAAGGAACCCACAATTCCCCTCTGCCCACTCCTCTTCCTCCTCCTCCTCTCCCTTCTACTGTGTTTCCCTGAAAATAAGACCAGGTCATATTAATTTTTGCTTGAAAAGATGTATTAGGGCTTATATTCAGTGAAATATGGTATTAAATGCATCCATCTGGCTGACGATCTTAACTGGGGCTAATTTTGGGGATGGCACTTATATTCTGAGCATCCTGAAAAATCATGCTTATGTTCCGGTTGGGTCTTGTTTTGAGGGAAGCACGGTAGCACTGATGATGTTACCTAGTTGGTAATGAGACGTCTGCAAGCAAACAACGAAGCTCAGACAGCACCAAGGAACCCACAGTTCCCCCCTCCGCCTCCTCTCCCTTCTAGCATTGATTAGCATGGAATAGAGCTGGAAGGGACCTTGGAGGTCTTCTAGTCCAGCCCCCTGCTGAGGCAGGAGAACCTATTCCATCTCAGACAAATGACTGTCTAGTCTCTTCTTAAAAATCTCCAGTGATGGAGCACCCATGTTTTCTGGAGGCAAGCTGTTCCACTGGTTCATTGTCCTCACTGTTAGGAAGTTTCTCCTTAGTTCCAGATGATGTTACCTAGTTGGGTAATGAGATGTCTGCAGGCAAACCACCAAGCTCAGAGAGCACCAAGGACCCCACAGTTCAACCCTGAGCTACAGATACAGTATTCTTTTCTATCAGGCTACAGGTAGTCCTTGATTTACAACAAAACATTTACGATCATTCAAAGTTTCAACGGCACTTAAAAAAGTTCCTTTCAACTGTCCGCCAACTACCATCACAGTCTCCCCACAATCACATAAATCAAAAATTTGGTCACTTGGCAACATGCATGTATTTATGACAATCTCAGCATCCCAGGTTCAGATGGTCATCATTGGTGACCTTCCCAGCCAGTTTCCAACAAAGCAAAGTGAGCGGGGAAATCTGGATTTGCTTAATGATGATGTGATTCATGTGTTCACTGCCATACGTTATTTTGTAAAAATAATAAAGACGTAATACAAATAATAGTAGAGGACAGGAAGACCTGGAGGAACGTTGTCCATGGGGTCGCGATGGGTCGGACACGACTTCGCAATTAACAACAACAATACAAATAATAATAAAGTTGGAAGGGACCTTGGAGATCATCTAGTCCAAGGCTTTGCAACCAGTGGTACAGGTACTACCTGTGGTACATTAGTACCTGGCAGGTGGTACGCAACCATCCTAGAAAACTAGCAGGGGAGGGGAAATGAGCTGAACTGGTGGCAGCACCGCACAAGCCTGAGCGAGAGATGGCTGGAGCTGCAGGGCTGTCAGGGCTCAGCGGAAGCGCCAGGATCAGTGCCAGGCTCCAGCTGGACCCAGAAGAAACGCCGATCAGCTGAAATGTTGCAGCATCTCCAGGATCTTGTGATTTACATTCAGATGTTTGGCAACTGATTCATATTTATGACGGCCACAGTGTCCCAGGTTCATGTGAAGTGACCAAAACCTGCTGCAACCACCCAGCAGATAGGGGGGGAATAAAACCCAAACAGCCCACCCACCCCACCCCCGTTGCCAATCCTCAACAGAAATACTCACAACAATGAAAACCTCGGACAGGAGGAAGAATGCCATTGTAACTTCAGTCACTAAGCGAACTGTTGTAAGTCAAGGACTATCTGTACTTCATCACTTTTTTTTTTTTTTTTTTTTTGGTCATCAGGTTTTTGACACCTTGCTAGGCGATTGGTGGTACTCGGATATTGCCATATCCTAAAAGTGGTACAATGGGTGAAAAGGTTGAAAAGCCCTGATCTAGTCCAACCCCCTGCTCAGGCAGGAAACCCTATACCATTTCAGACAAATGGCTGTCCAGTCTCTTCTTAAAAACTGCCAGTGTTGGAGCATTCACAGCTTCTGGAAGCAGGTTGTTCCACTGATGGTTCCCACTGTCAGAAAACCTCTCCTTAATTCTAGGTTGCTTCTCTTTTTGGTTAGTTTCCATCTGTTGCTTCTTGTCCTGCCTTCAGGCGTTTTGGAGAATAGCTTGACTCCCTCTTCTTTGGGGCAACCCCTGAGATATTGGACCACTGCTATCATGTCATCCTTCATCCGTCTCCTCATTAAACTAGACATACCCAATTCCAGCAACCGTTCCTTATATGCTTTAGCCTCCAGTCCCCTAATCATCTTTGTTGCTCTTCTCTGTACTCTTTCTAGAGTCTCAACATCTTTTTTACATCGTGGTGACCAAAACTGGATGCAGTATTCCAAGTGTGGCCTTACCAAGGCGTTGTAAAGTGGTATTAACACTTCACGTGATCTTGATTCTATCCCTCTGTTAATGCAGCCCAGCACTGCATTGCATTAATGACTGGACTGAAATAGTTATACTTCGGACACAATGCAAGACCCAATGTTCTTGAAAATTCTGATAATTCTGGAACGGTTGAAGTAAAAGGAAGAGGATGACCACCAGCTATCGGTAGATGGAAGGAATCCCTTACAGTGGTGATAGATGGACATTGGACAGTCTGAAAGACCAGGCTGGGGACAGACTGTCCTCCAGAACATCTATTTATGAGGTCAAAGAACTGAAAAAAATCAAAAGATGGGGTTAATTACTCCCTTGATATAACAACAACAAAAATGGAAACTACGGATGAATAACAATACTCTCCATTAAAGGATTTCAAGGCACTCTGCTCTTCGGGACATTTTGAGCAAATACGCCATTTTCTACACTTCAAAATACCACTGACCTCACTAAGTACACATATTTTATATACAGCATTACACATGGATTTCATGCAGTATTATTTTGATGTAGTATCTCTGGCAGTAAAGAAAACAAAAAGCATCACAGCTTCCTTGTTGCTCATTTTGTACATCTTGCCTTAGGATTAATTATTAAAGATTACTCTGCTTTCTTTCCAGTTCCTTCAAAACCGTTCAAGTAAAATGCTTGCTAATGGACACTAGGCAACCTCACAACATTTTGATTGATGCAATTTTATTCCCAAGGGGTATAATACCGCCCATAAAGTATTCTTAACTCATTCCCATGATAATCATTTTTGCAATGATT